CTTTAAAAATCATTTCTGTTTTTGTCATTTTCAGTGTAAAGTATTTTACTTCTGGTTAAATTTGTTCACAGGCATTTTATTCTTTTGACTGCTTTTGTAAATGGAATTGTTTTCTTAATTTTCCTTTCAGATTGCTTATTGCTGGTGTATAGAAACATAAATTTTCATGTGTTGACCTTCTATCCTGAAACCTTGTTAAATTTGTTTATTAAACTCTAATAGTTTTTATGAGTTCTTAAATATTTTTATATATTAGATCAGGTTATCAGTATATGAGATAGTTTTGTTTCTTTGCTACTTAGATACCTTTTATTTTTATTTCTTTTTCTTACTTAATTGTTATGACTGAAAGCTTCAGTACAAATGTGAATAGTAGTGGTAAAAGCAGGCATTCTTGTCTTGCTCCTAAACTTAATGGAACTTTCAACATTGGGTGTAATGTTAGCTGTGGATTTTTCACACTTGCCCTTCACTAGCAGTAATTAAAGTTCTCTGGGGATCAGTTTCCTTATCTGTCATTTGGTTCTTTCACTGACCACACCATTCCTTGACCTTTTCCTACATCTCTGGAAGGGTTTCATTTCCTCCACAAAGCAAGGCGGGCTCCATAGTGGGCAGTCCTGGCTCCTTCTGGACCATCTAACCTTAAAGGTAGAAATAGATTCCTCCCAAATCTCTTCTTTAAGTTGTCTCTCTTATCACCTTTTTAAAGTAGTTTCTCTTCTGAAAAACCTATGGACTCATCAGGTATGGGCTCTGTTTTCCTGACTGGACTCTGCCTGGGACATCTAGAGTTAAGGATTCCTATTATTGTTATATCTCTATGTGATACTATCCTGGCAGTCAGGTCATTTCTTCTCATGTCCATGGGAATTGTCTTAGTCTAAGCCACCATTCTGTTCTGCTTATCCTGGTTGTAGTGTCCTAATGATTAGAAACAATCCCTTTTTGTTCCTTTCTATTCCTATCTTCATGAGGCAACCATAGCAATTGCACCAGTCAAATGTAACAGAAACTTTTCAGCTGGCTTAAGAAGTATGAATATTTATTAAACCACAATATGCTCAGAGTTCAGAATTGGTGAATTCAGTAGCTCAGTGATGCCACTGAGACCCAAGTTTATTCCCACCTCTCTCTGCCATCCTGTCTGTCCTCAGGCGGATTCCCTCCAGGATGGTTCCCTGTAGTAACCCAGGCAACATTCTTTCTTGTTCATATGCAATGAGAAAAGATGAGGTAGAGATTGCGATTGAGATAAAGAAGAGGAGGAAAACGTTTTTTTTATGATGTTGAATGTAAACAATTTCACTCACTGTAATTTGGTCATCTCAGGCCACGGTTGACTTCTCTGACCCCTCAAATCAATTATAGTTTCCAGTGGAATAGTTTAGATTTGTTACAGTATCTCTGTGGAGTGTATAAAGGAGTGATTATCCAAACTAAGTCAAATTTCTGTTAGGAGAAAGGAAAGTGAACTGGTTGATGGACAGTTGCTTTTCTAAGAATTTAAATCAGATTATAGTCTGGTGCTTCAAAGCCTCCACTAACTCTCAGTTGCTCTTAGAATCACATCAGGAGGTGGACGAAGCAAATGTAATCCCACCCCATCTATCTGAACAGTCTACTCTCCTGTCAGTTTTTGTCTACATCTCCCCTCTATTGCTCCAGCTGCAACAACTTTGAAAATCTCCCCAAGAGTCCCTGGCTTTGTGCACCTGCTCTCCTGTCTGCCTGGAGTGCTCGTCTTGGCACCTGGCCACACTCTGCATCTGGCTGAAGCTTCCTGGTTCTGCAGTTTTCAGCACACACCTTTCCCTACCACCTACTTAAAGAGGGTCCCTGCTTGGCTATCAACCTGGTTATTCTCTCCTATGCCAGTGTGCATTTCCGTCTTTTCATAACATGAAGTGCATTTTATAACTATCTGTTTATTTGTAGGTTTGTCTCATGTCTGTCTTTCCAATTAGACCGGGGATTAGAACAATTTTTTTTTTTGTAAAAGGTCAGATAGTAAGTATTTTAGGCTCTGTGGGCCACATGTTCTGTTCTCCAGGAACAGTGTGTGTGTGTGTGTTTATGTGTGTGTGCGTGTGTGTATGTGCGAGTGTATGACAATGTTTCAATGCGTGCATGTGTGAGAGACAGCATATGTGAGTGCATGCATGTATGTCTGTGTAAGAGCATGTGTGAGTGCCTGCATGTGTGTGTGAGGAAGAGCGTGTTTGAATGCATGTGTGAGTGTGTATGAGAGAAAGCGTGTGTTGGTGCATGTGTGAGTGCATGCATGTGTGAGAGTGCATGTGAGTGCATGTGAGAAAAAGCATGTGTGAGTACATCATGTGTGTGAGAAGACACAGATCAGAGGCAGGGCATAGTGGGTACAAGGAGGTAGTTAGAGGGGCGCTGTCTTGAGGACTTCAGAAATTCTTGGTAGTTTTATCTTTGTTGGTGCCTGATAAGAGAAAGTCTTTTAATGAAGTCTCAATGTAGTGAATTTTTCCAACTTAGATATGAATCCGTGATGTCCTTGCCATCCCAGTTTCTTCTCCACAATGACTAAGGTTATCTTTCTTTTTAAAAAATATTATTATGATGATTTTTTTGAGATGGAGTCTTGCTCTGTTGCCAGGCCAGTCTCAAATCCTGGGCTTGACGGATCATCCCATCTAAGTCTCCTGAGTAGCTGTGACTGCAGGCATCCACCGCCACACCCAGCAAAGGTTATTTTTGAAACATGCAAAACTGGTCCCCCCGACTTGCCTCCACAAGCTCCCTAGTGGCCCTATGCGCCTCTCAAAGACGTGTCTAAGCCATGGGCGTGGCCCAGTCTGTGTTGTCCTGGGAACTGTGCTTGGTGCTGGAGTTACTGATGTAAGCACGACGCCATTGTTTTGAACTGCCATGTTTCAATTCCTTTATGTGTGTCATTTAAGACACATTTTAATTCAGTCTCTGCTTCATGTTTGGTCGCTTTCAATGCCTTAGACTGTAGTCATACCATTTCCTGAAAATGTCACCTGTTGCCACGCCTTTCTCTTTCTCCTACTTTTTCTAAAAAAACCTTTCCCAAATCTATTAGAATGAATTATTCCCCCCTGGCTGTCATAACATTTAATCAAATAATCTGTATAGAAATCATCAAGTTTTGGTATAATAAATTGCATTTAAATTTATCTGACCCACTGTGGTAAGAATGGCCTGAGGGCATAGACCATGCCCTCCTCATGTTTGTGCTTTTAAGGGATTGAATAGGGCACCTAACTTAACTGAGTAAAACCTGGGGCAACCGTTGCTTCACATTGAATTATGTACAAATCGGAGATAACAGATTCTTCTTTTGACTGTATCACAAAACAATTCGGAGCATAAATCACACCATAGGTTTTTTAGAAAATATAATATCATGTAAACACAACGTGACACTCTACGTGATTATATGCACACATGTTGCAATTTTGTTCTGATTATCCTTACATTGTTGATTTCATGTTCCCTGCAAAAGTTACCACATCAGGTACTGATGTTCAGTAGTTGGCACCTAGTGATACATCTTTGGGTTAAGTCAGAGTTGGTATCAGGCAAAATTGTCTTTCGTTATTTCTGCTCCTGCTTTTCCAAGTTTTTCACTTGCCTTTTATTCTGACACTCTTATCAGGGCCAAATGTATTTATACAATTTATATATTTATAGAGGTATACTTTTTGAAAAATTATGTTTCATTTTAGAGTTGTGGGCTATATATGAAGATTTAATACAAAAGTAAATAACGTGCAAGTAAAGTTTGGCTTTTAGCATGACTTCTTGCTTTCTGGTAGTGGACCTGGTATCCACGTGTGCATGTGTGCCCCTTATGCCTTCTCCCCCACACCTTTTAGCGGTGCCTAGTGTCTGTTGTTCCCACCTTTGTGCTTGTGTGCAGATCAGGGCCTGCTTATAAGTGAGAACATGAGGTATTTAATTTTTTGTTTCTGTAAGAGTTCACTTAGAATGGTGGTCTCTACCTGCATCCATGTTGCTGCAAAGGACATGATTAGAGGTATCATTTTTACATTGACATGCTAATAGGTTCCTAACAAGTTTTTAAGAATGTGAACTTTTATTTTACAAGAGAAAGAACAGAGCAATGATGAACTTAAGAAATCAGTGATGTTTTGATATTGTGCTATAATTATATAAGATGAAACCATTAGGGGGAAACCGGGTGAAGGGTACATGGACCTCTCTGCACTGTCCTTGTAACTAACTTCCTGTGACTCTATAATTATTTCAAAGTAAAAAATTAAACAAATCACTCATAATGGTAGATTTGTTTGTATCTGGAAGGCCGAGGTCAGCAAAAAGGTAAAGATGGAAGGCAGGCCATGCCTAAGAAGCTGTCAGTGCTGGCAGAAACTCCACCCCCAGGGGCCACGGAGCTCCTCCCCTAAGCCCTTCAGTCTCTGCCCCAATCTCATCCTCTCTGTGAGGACCTCCTGGGCCTTCTTCTCATCTAAAAGGGAAACACGACACCCTTCCCCATCCCCACTTTTCTACTTTATTTAAAGTTAATGCTTTATTTTGAAGGTAGTACACTCATTACCTTTAACTTACCATACACATTTGTATTTTTTTATCTTAGTTTTGTCATCTTTCAGTAGAATGTACGTTTTATGATGGCAAGAATTTTCAAAAACGGTATTATTGTATCTTCATTGCCTAGAACAAAGTTAGGCACAAAGAACACACTCAGCACATGAATGAATGAATCTTTGTAGAAAATGAAAGCTTGACAAGAAGCTGACTGTTTCGCCCAGAGAAAAGTAACTTAATTCTGCCCAGCCCTGTATGAGAGTAAACCTATCTTTGAAGCTAAGTCCTTTTTCCTGTGTTCATACTACAGAAAAAGAAGACACCACTGATACTATCTGAGAGGAAGGAAACAGTGCATCGGGCCTGGCCTCTGCATGTCACTTATAAAAATTGATTTTTTAAATAGACCAGTTTTCAAATAGTTTCCAGAGATGGAATATCTTACTTTCCTTTTGGCTATTCTTCATATATACAAAGGTAAAGATAATCTTTATGTCTTCATTTAAAAATGTTGCACCTTTTTTGATCTTGCAGTATGACATGTTGAGAATTTCTAGTGCTCTTTCGTTGGCTTAGATCATATCTCACTTGTTCAAGTAAACTAAAATTTACAATTGGCAATTATCAGCAGGTAACCTTTTTAGACTAAGGTAGAAAATGTGAGTCTTTACCATGATTTCAATTTACTATTGTGCTAGATCTTAGAAAGTTTAACATATTTACTTCTTGTTTCCATTATCAAGTCTAACTGAATTAACATGATATATATTTCAGCTCTATGTGAAGAGGTATTTTGGGACTCAACAGTTAAACTTGCTGAGAACATGACTCTAGAATGTGTGTATCCATCGACGGACACCTTAACGCAGATGGAGTGGTTCAAAGTTGATACAGTGAAAACGGACATTGCCATTTTCCACCCATCTCATGGTGAGATTATAAGGGAGTCCTATCGCGACAGAGTTTACTTTCTCAATTCAACGATGGCTCCCAATGATATGACTCTTTCTTTTCATAATGCCTCCGAAGCTGATGTTGGCTTTTATTCCTGTTTTCTTCATACTTTCCCAATGGGAACTTGGGAAAAAGTGATACGAGTGGTTCAGTCAGGTAAGAGTAAGCTTTCTTTTCTTTTTTATCCACCCACTACATTTGATTCTATAAAGCTCAAGCAGAAGCTACAGAATGCTTTGTGGCATTTTCCAATTCCATTTCTAGATTCCTTGATGTTAATGTTTTAAAGGAGGAATAGTGTGAATCAATTTTCTTTTTCTTTTTTTTATTAATCAGTATTTTTTATTATGGTTTTGTGGGGTACAGTTAAGGGTTAGGTGTACAATTACATTTCCTTTCACGCACCCTGTTGATAGAGGTGTTTTCCCATCCCCTGACAGATATTTGCTACTGTTAATCCCATCCCCCCTCCCCCCCCATAGTTTCCAGTAC